TTATGCCTGTAAAATATAACAGTGCTGTTGATTAGCCTTAAGTGTTGCAAAACGTTTTAGTATATCGTATATATTTGAAATACATTTCTCTTATATACATTCTCGAGTGCTTTTGGACTCGCCAAGGCGTATGCTTAATCGCATTGCGCATACGCCGCATTGCACAGCAGCCAGATACAAATGAAGTCATCTATAAAAATTAAGTTTTCCGCAACAAAAATACAACAAAGAACAACAAAAAAAGGAAAACTAAACAATAGTCACAGCATCAGCAACAACAACAACAACAACAACAACAGTCTTTTGATTTTGTTCTACATTTTCTTTTTTCTTTCATGCTTTTTTGTTGGTTTTATTTCTATTTCTATTTCAATTTTTTTTTTTTTTTTGTGCATAGTAAATGTCATTAAGTTTCACTTAATGAGCCAATTTAGACAATTGATCCATATGCTTTAGTTTACGCGACACACACACACACACACACACGCGCGCGTATAAATAGATTATGTGAGTTAGTGTGCGTGCGTGTGAGTGTGTGTGTGTATATAGACGAAAAACGCGCCGACAAATGTGCAGAAAAAAAAATACATATCTAACCGACGACGACTTAGTTGAATTATATATTAGTTATATTATATATATAAATATAAATATATATTTCTGTGATAAATTGAACGAAATGTGTAACATTTGGCATGTATGACGTCACAGCACACATGCACACGCACACATACACACACACGCACGATTTAAATTTTCGTTTTAATTGTATAATTCGCTTTGCTTTTTGCCGCATAACAAAAAGGATAAAAAAAATCTATACAAATATTTTGCAGAACTTAATTTTATTGTTGACTTTTCTTTGTTGTTTTTTTTTTTTATTTTTAATTGATTTATTTAGTTTGCATATTTTACAACACTTAATTTTTCAATTTCCTTTGCTGTTTGTGTTCCTTTTCTTGTGTTTCAATTTATGAATTGATTTTGAGGTTAGTTTTGCTTTGAGCTTTGAAACAATTCTGTTTCATATATGTTTTAAGTAAGTTTTCTTTTGTAAATTTTTAATAGGTAATTTGTGCCCGTACCCGTAGTGCTGCTAAGACCCCAATAGTCTTCCATTGCTGCACGGTGTTGTAGTGGTGATGGACACTCGTAAACTGCGCTGCGGCCGCTATATGAAACGCAATCTCAATCTCAATCTCTGTCGCTTCCACTTCAATGGTGTTGATTTGCCTGGCTTGGTGGCCCCGTTGCCCGTCTGCGCCTTCGTCTCTGGCCGGCGCTTTAGTCGCGGCTTAGCCGTAGCGGACACACACACTGACACTTACACTCACACACACAGACAGCCAGCCAGGCAGCCAGCCACCCACATACACACATACAGACACACGCACTAAGCATATGTAGCAGGCTTAAAGCCTTTGTATGTGTATAAACGAGCGTTATTTTCAATTGTCGTGAAGATCTCTTGCAATGTACCCAGCGCTGAGGAGGCGGGGTAGACCGCTATTTGGTGGGGAGAGTGGGGGGTTGGTAATTTAAAGCACAAGGCGCGGCGTGGCGCGACACTCAAACACACCCACACACACTGTATCGCTATGTTATGTGTATGTGTGTATGTGCGTGTGTCTGTGTATCTCGTTTAATGCATTTCGCGTTGTCGGGCCGCGTTTTGAGGCAAAAGGCATAAATCAAGGGGCAATCATAAAATAGCCGCCGCCACTGTCGGCCCGCCGTTGCGCCTTTCTTCCTACTTAGCAGCGTCGTCGTCGTCGTCTTCTTCTTTAAATTCGTCTTCGGCTCTCGCTCTTGTTCTTGCTCTTCTGCAGCCAGTCACACAGTCGACAGCTGCGCTTGCGATCTCGCTCACACGCACGCGCCTCGTGCCAGTCACGAATATCGCTTGTCACTTGTCTTTTATCTTTATCACACTTTTACGCTGAAGCCGCAACAACAACAACAGCAACAACAACAACACCAACAATAGCAGCAGCAACAACGACAATAGGCAAACACACAACAAACAACAGCAAAAAAAAAAAAAAAACAAATTGTCAATCCCGAATCCCGTTGCTTAGTTGACCGCGCGCATCTTTCACATTTCTTTATGCTCGGCTTCTGTATGTGTGTATTTGTGCATGCATGTATGTACGTATGCTAGTATATCAATGTTGGTGTATAAGTGTGTGTGTGTGTGTGTATATATGTGTATTTATAAGCTAAGCTTTTGGCATTTATCATTTGGCTTTGGCTTTCGTTTAGTTTAGCATTTGGCTTGGGATTTGACTTGATTTTTTTCTATATATTGTCTTGATGCCGCCGACGTTTGACGTTAAACTGATTCGATGTTTCGGATAGCGCTTTAGTCGAAACTGAGCATCGAAATTTTTCGCCGAGCTTGATTTTGTTCTATAGAGCCAGCCATTCGCTGCTGTTTCTCTACCTTCTATATTGAATTACATGCACATACACATACACTTATGCATGTATGTGCATGTATGTGTGCACATATGTATGCATATGTTTTGTACTATATACAGTTTAACTAGCCATAGACTATGTACTTGTACTTGTCGCACACAAAAGCCCGATTGCATGCTGGCCACACACACACACACACACACACACACACACACCCGTATTATTAGAATTGTTGTTGTTGCTGTTGTTGTCGTCGAGCAGTCTCCAGTTTACTCACATCGACGCCGATCCGTGCACAGTTTTGACAGCGCATTTTGTACAGCATACCATCCTATGCGGCAAAGGTCATGTCATGGTACAGCGACCAACTAATTATGTTCTATTTAAATAAGCTCGTGCCATCAAAGAAACTGTTTTTTTTTTATCGGCTTGGGCTTGGCTTCAACAACAACAATGACAACAACCTATTTATATATATAAAGTTCGCTTATAATGCCCGCAAAACTAATCCAATAAACTATTTAATTAACCCACTCTTAATGAGTTTATATCTTTATTTTAATGCCTTCGCCAATTAATTGCAAAATAACTGTTCTGTCTGCCATTTTGTCAAAAGATTATCCCACTTAACCTCATTCTTTTAAATACTTTATCACAAAAATTGATAACAATAATTTGATATTTGAATAAAATTCAAATCGGTCAAGTATTCACAAAGCTATGTAAGTTTTGACTATGGGATTTCCGAATGTTATCTTTTTGTGACAGGTTTGGTGATTTGTGAGGGAAGAAGATTGCGGTACATCTAGAATTCCAGTCTGAAAACATTCAAAGCTCATAGTTTGCTCAAAGTTATGCAAATAGCAAAATTACGTGATGGTAAAAACATAGTGTAAGATAAAAAGAGAGTAAAAAAACAAGAGCAAATAGATGAAGCGCCTCGTAAACAAGCAATTTTGTTTGAGGAACCGAATCCCGAACGGTTCTTATCGCGTCTCATCTGATTAGTTTGGTTCGCCGTATTCCCATTCATTAGATATTCATTCATCTTATCAAGAAACGCATGTTCCGACCAAAAAAAAAAATAACAATTAGTCATCTCCAGAAATGGTTGCCTGGCAACATATACAAATATATGCATTACCGTTAATCAAGCAGAAATCTCAACAAACAGAAATTTTAGAAAATACGCGAGATCACGTTTAATCTCGATTTACCAGCTGGTAAAACAACATGACATGAGCTTAGATGAGCGGCTTATAAGAATACAATTGACAGTGTCTAATTGGAAGGCCCAATTGGAATGTCTATAGTAAGATTTCTTTAGTTGAAATTCTGATCAAGCTGATTGATTGACATTCTGATTGAAGACGCACAGTCTAAGCTGTGCTTACCTTTTATAGACTACACATATATAATTTATATAATTTTTCGTTGAGCTTTTCGCCAGTTTTTCGCATTTGTGTGCGGATTTTTCCTCATATCTAAATGTACAAGAGAGGCCTGTGATTAGTTTAATAGCTAGTTATCAACTTGTAGCTAAATATTAAGCTCAATAGATTCTCCATTAAACCCAAGTAGTTATTAGGAAAGCTATTAAGATTGTAAATATTCCCCCACCCCCTCTTTCAACCTCTTTCCAATAAGAATTGAGCTTGTTTTCTCAAAGGGAAGGGAGACATTTTTCCAATTTTACATTAAACACAAAACGCTTCCATTTAAAATTATTGTGTACGCGTCCAGCTGTGGGCTGTTGATCTAAAATCAATTGCAGTTCTGGGAACTGATAATAGAAATTCTAGATTTTAAATATAATGAAATGGAAACACGTTTTGTCAACGATTAAACGATAAGAACAATGCTCATTAAAAAAATCCCCGCACCCGCCTACACCATTCGGATTAATAGACTTTTCGTGGTAAGTGTAAGCGAGACAGAGAAAGAGAGAGAGAGAGAGTGACCGACTAAGGGATACCCTCTGACCAGCGCACGAGCTAACTTCAAAAACATTCCAATCTCTTTGTATACATGCATAAAATTATGGAAATGGACTCGTTGAGAATATTCTAATAGATATCGTTTTCTGCCTATATACTTATATATTCTTCGCATAGTCTTCGGCTACAAAATCAATGTAGAGGCTTAGCCATAGCCGAAATGCCCTCGATTATCAAAATCGGTTTATTTCTCACAAAGTTATGATAGTTTGATATATAGTAGGGGTATTTCCTATGCCCACGGGACAGGGTATACAAAAAGTCAAATATATTTCATATCTACGAGAATCCAACTACCAAGTTTGACGAGTAATAAAATTCGAGTAATGCTCAAAAATCAAGTGAATATTTCTCTTTTTTTTTTTACATCTTTATGCGAGTAAATATATATATTTGACATTTTTAGCCTCTGGTTGACGATTCAGCTCGTTGACCTGAACAGGAAGATACAACCTTTGCCAGGCGGGAGATGCTTCCTGCTGCCTGTTACATACATTATACACAAAATCCTTATACCCGCTTACAATAGGTGCAGGGTATAGAATATATATATATATATATGTATATATGAGAGCGATTTGATTGTGCTTGATTTTGGTTTGTTTCTTTGTATTTAATTTAAGGTATCAACGGGGAATAATAAGGTTATCATTTTGTTACTTGTTACTCGTTTAACTTTAACAATTAAAACTAGGAATTTCCTCTTTCACAAAACACATGCCGAAAACGCAAATGCTGCCTATGTACACGACGAAAAATAATATACATATATATATATATATATAAATATATATATATATATATATTAATGCTTGTATAGCCCACTTAAGTTAGATATAGGGAATAGATTGAAAGTATTGAAGGGTCAACGGAACAAATTATGAAACGCGTCGCAAAATGGCAAAGAAAATAAATCAGAACGCAGAAGAATAGAGAAGAAGATATAAATTTTGGGTAAAACTAGAGCGTAGAGGTAAGAGCGCAGCATGGAAAGGAAAAGTCAACTATATATATGTATATATAGTATTTGTATATATACATGCATATATATGCATATGTATATATATATCAATATATGTATATATACATATGTATAGGTTAATCAGTTGGGCATGCCGACGCCCTGCTGAAAACTGAGCGTCTCCTGTTGCTTCTTGACCTCCTCCTGCATTTCGAGTGCCAGCTTCTTATACTTTTCCGCCTCCTTTTCGTTCTTCTCAATGCCATCGCCACGCGCATACATCTGGCTGAGATTGGCACAGGCGTACATGTTACGCAATTCGCATGCCTTGTGTGCAAACTGAAATGCCTTCTTCATGTCCTTTAGCACAATGTAATCGGCGTCCTTAAGCGATTTGGATTGTGTGCTGGCTGACGCACTGCCGCCACCATTTGCCATATCCTCCGGCTTCTTTTGTACGCCCGAAATGTGCATGCCGGACAGATAGAAGCAGGCGGTGGCATTGTTCATGTCACAGCTCTTCGTTAGAAACTGCAAGCCCTGCAAGCACGACAATAATATATACATATATATATATATATATCCATAATAGTTGTTTATCAAATATTTGAGGTGGTACTCACCTTGGGCACATTTCTGTCGATCTCTTTGGGCATGGAGCGCGACACGAGCAACAGGCCGGAATGCAAACAGGCATCCGAATCATTTAGATTGCAGCCCTTCTCGTAATATTGATAGGCGACACGGGGCTCGCCCTTGCTGCCGCTTTTGCCCTTGCCGAGGAAGCTATAGTTGCCATATTTATAGCAGGATTTTGCATAACCATAATCGTCACATGTCGATTTGTATACTTTGGAGGCCTTCTCGAAATCCTTCTTGATGCCCTCCAGATAGTCGCCGAGCAGATGGCACACTGTAAATAACGTTATAACACTTTTCGGTTAATGTTCTTTTTAGCGTATAATTTACAAAAATGTTTATGTTCGCTTGTGTTTTGTAATTCAATTACGATACAAAAACCTAGGTTAGAGCACACACAATGTTTTTGTTGTTGCTGTTGTTGTTGTTTTTGTTGTTGTTGTGGCTGGCGAACTGGCCGCCTGTTGTTGTTGCATTACCTTCCGGTTTCTTTTCCGAGTAACAGCCAAAGCGATATTCCACGCCCAGTTTCTCCACATATTCCTTAACGTCAGACTCCTTTTTTAAGTCGTAGGCCATTGTGTTTTTGTTTTATATAAATTACTAAATAACAGCCAGTTTTGTCGATGCCTCTCTGGTTGTTATGTTGCTGTTGTTGTTGTTGCTGCTGCTGCTGCTGCTTCGGTGTGTGTGCTCTTTTTTTTTTGTTATATATGTGCTGTTTTTTTTTTCCTATTCTGACAAGCAGTGTTGGAGAACACAGCCGGCATTGCAGCAACAATTGCCAGTTATCGATAACAAAGCGCGCGCGGTCACACTGTTGCAATATTTGAAAAGTACGTCGCGTCATGTACAAATGTGATATATGCAACAAAAGCAGCGCTAACGAGGATGCTGATGATGTCCTGCTATATGGCGAATGGATGATCAAGCAGAAGGTGACGGTGCACTATTATTGTCTGGTAAGCGGCACATTTGAATGTTCTCAATTTGTTTAAACTCTGCAAACATTTCGAACAGCTATTGTCCACGAATTTGCCGCAACGCGGTGGCGACTCCAGCGGCATTCTGGGCTTTTTGCTGCGCGACATACGCCAGGAGGCGGCCGCCGCCCAGCAGCGCAAATGCGCCTTTTGCAAGGAAAGAGGCGCCAGCGTCGTTTGCTACAAGTGTCGCATCGTTTTTCACATGCCCTGCGGTTTGGAGAATCGCTGCATATATCAGTTTTGCGATGAATTTCGCAGCTACTGCGAGCACTGCATGCCGCTGGACGACTACCAGCAGCAGCTGATGAACAAGCCGCCCAAGGATGCCTATTGCGACATCTGTTTCCGTGCCATTTCACCGTTCCTGCTGCACAACGTCACCTACGGCGATTGCTGTCGCAAGGGATTCGCCCATCGGACGTGTATGCGACGCTATGCGCTCGCCTCCGGCTACTATTTGCGCTGTCTGTGGTGCCGGGACAAGAAGTTCCACGACACAATACGGCTGCAGTCGGTGTTTGTGCCGGATCGCGATGCCACGTGGGAGCGTCAGCCAAATGCGTACAGCGAGCTGCACAGCAAGCGTTTGCGCTGCGAACAGGCCGTCTGCCTGTGCCCCAATGGACGGGACTACCACAGACACAGCTGGACCATACAGCTGTGCATACTGTGCGCCGCAACGGGCACCCATCTCAAGTGTCGTGTGGGCACAATGCGCCTGGTGCGCACCTATGACGTTGAGCTAAACGACTTTAAATGCAGCTTGTGCATTGAGGTCGAGCAGAAGCTGATCCATGGTCAACACAACTATTCCGGCCAGAGGGCGCCGCACAAGCCCAACTGGGAAACGGCAGACGAACAAATAGATGCCTCCTATTATATGCCCAAAACGTGCTGTGCCCTGAGCATAGCACCCGATGAGGATTCGCCGGTGCTCTCCGACGAAGATGCCACCTCCAATGAGGCGAGCGTAATAACAGTTGTGCCTTCGCAGCGCCTGTCCACACAAAGTTGTCCACGTTTCAGTCAAAGCTTCGTCAAGTCGCCGCCAGCCGCACTGCCAGCGGACCAAACAGTCATTGAGCTGGCGGACACACAGCTCAGTTCCACACAGCAGCTAAGATGCTCCCTAAAGCCGCCTCTGCTGCTGCACGAATCCTTCACTTGCGGCGCACACTTCTATCTGGTGGTCTACGAGTACAATGAGCATCAGACGGATCTCTGTACCGGCACCTGCACGCTGCGCTTTGCGGCTAACGATGCTCGTCTGGGGGATCGCTCGGTGGAGGCGCTGCAGCACCTGCCGTTGCTCGAAACAGACGTTTGGTTTCGCGACAGCAATCGCGGCATCTATGACAAGATCGATCAATATACCAAAAGCTAAGCCTACAAACTATGCAGTGATACTTGGCACTCTCAAAAGCGATATATATATATTGATATGGGCAAAACGAAGGCATAGAATATTTTAGAAATATATAAAAAAAAAAGCACATAAATCAACCCAAAAGTTGAAGAAATGTACGAGGCTGGCAATTGCCGAGTTTCGCCAAGATATCCTGATAGAAATTTCAAATAAAAAAACAGTCCGATTTCTAAGAAATATTGCTTTAGCAACAAGTTTTGTCAAGATATGATAAAAACTAAAGATCTGAACGATCGATACAGCATATTGATATAGCGATCTGCACCGCGCCTAGCTTAAAGAGACGGAACCATAAAAAGTTTAAAGACGATCGCTTTAAAACTGAGGGACTAGTCGATACGGATCAACGTCGTTCCGAATGCTCGGAAATTAACGAGTTCCATCTAGACATTAAAATCCGAGTAAGTTAGTTAATAATATGTCAACAATTTGTATTACAATAAAAATAAACAATAAAAAAAAAATGGAGTTTGCCTAGGTTGTGGCACGATAATCGAAGAGCTTGGGTATCACATCGCCACACTTGGCCGAGATTTTGATGTCGGCCAAATGATCCGCACGCGTCTCCCCAATATTGACTATGGCCACCGGCAGGTTAAGGTCCCTGGTCTGGAGCACAATGCGATAGCCGGAGAAGACCAGCAGACTGGAGCCAAGCACCAGCAGGCCATCGCTGTTGTACACCATTTTGGCAATCGCATCGAGACGATCTCGAGGCACACAGTCGCCAAAGAATACAATTTCCGGCTTAAGATTGCCGCCACACTGCGGACAGGGGGGTATTTGAAAATTCTCAATATATTCAGCTGGTATTTCGACATCGCCATCGGGCCGTATCATGTCGGGCGCATCCTTAAACGCCGGATTCAGTGCGGTTAATATGCTCTGGAACTCGTGCCGATCGATGCGATATTCACAGCCCAAACACTTGACCACATAGCCGCTGCCATGCAGCTCCACTACGCTCTTGGAGCCGGCCTTTGTGTGCAGACGATCCACGTTCTGGGTGACCACCGATTGGATGCGCATCTCGCGCTCAAAGCGCGCTAGCGCATGATGCGTACCATTTGGCTGGGTGCTCGAGAAATTTGGCCAGCCCACAAAGTTGCGGGCCCAATAACGTTTTCGCACACTGGACGATTTCAGGAATTCGATGTGCTGTATGGGCTTGTGATTGGTGCGCGCGTACAGGCCAACGACAGCAGAGCGATAGTCGGGTATGCCTGCAGACGGGGGAAAACAACAGTTAAATATACAGCGAAAAGCCTGCTTAATGGTGGGTCAGCCTCAGTCCGCAACCTGATTCTGTGGAGATGCCAGCGCCAGTGAGCACCAAAATGTTTGGTTTCGACAGCAAGAAATCCTCCAAACGCTTTATGTCATCGTCCAGCACTGGTTTGTGCTGGGGCACATATTGTTGTTTGATAACGCTGCGACATCGCAGCACAGCACTCAGACGCATTGTATAATGGGTTGGATATATTTTTCAAAACAAAACTATACTTTATTTGTTTTCTTTTTTTTTTTTAGCAGCAGAATTGCTTGCTACGCAGCTGCTAAATGCCAACACTTAGTGGCACGAAGGTGTGACCGTAGTTTTAATTAAAATACTTTGTGCTTGCTTTTTAACGAATTTCTAAATGATGCTGTTATAAAATCTCGTATGTTAAATAAAATTGTATTTGTGTTTGTATTTTTGCCAACAGCTGACACTAATTTTTTTTTTTGGTATTTCTCAACACCAAGTCGCGCCGACTGTCAACGCACAACGACTGCATTGTGTATATATATCGCACGCGAAACGATAACAGCTGCGCTTTTACGGTTTCTCATCTCTATGTGGCAGCGGCTGCAGTGGTGAAAATTTGAGAACAGCCTTTTTTACGTGTAGTTTTTTTTTAAATTGCATATGTATGTACAAATTTATACTCAAATACGATATCGCGGCGGGCAGACTTGAACACGTGTAGTGTACTTGAATGCGCACGCACTTTTAGATAGCGAAACTAACACATATTTGCCTTAAAACCACAAATATCGTACACGATTCACGTTCACTTCAAGACCCGTGTGCTTGTATCGTGTGTGCATGTGTGTGTGTGTGTGTGTGTAGTGTATGTGTATGCTTGCGTGCGACTGTATATGTGTACGAGCGTGCATGTTGCGTATGTGTGTGTGTGTGTGTCTGAATGTGTCGGCTTTAATTTACACGCACCCCAACAACAATATACAAAATATTAGTATTTAAACAGGAAGGCAAAACATAAGGAACAACAAAATGTCATATCCACCGCGAGCGCCGATGCCGCCATATATGAATGCATCGATACCACCGCCGCATGTAAGTATTTATTTTATTTTTATTTGTGAATTTTTATTTTTTTTTTATTTTTGCAAGCAAGATGCTGTGAAAATGTTTTTCAATTTGTTTTTATTTCGTTGCCCACCCAGCTGATGCCTCCGATACCCCCGCCACGCAGCTACCGCAACTCGGCGACGATCAGCTCACAGCCAACAGTCTATCATAGGCCGCCGGAGCCGCAGCCGCAATTCCGTGGACCTGTCATCACCGTCTTTGTGGGTAACATCAGCGAACGAGTTCCGGAATCGCTGCTCAAGCGCATCCTATCCGCCTGCGGCGTTGTCATCAATTGGAAGCGCGTCTCCACTTTCGGATTCTGTGAATTCGAGTAAGCCAACCTTTAAGCAGCTCCTTGAAGCTATTCGAGTTGCTTCTGCCTATAAGACAATGTGCACAGAAGGCGACTATATATATTATTGATCCGTATCGGCAACCGACTCGCTATAGCCACAACCGACTGTCCAACTAGCCTCTCTCCTGTCCTTTTTGATCCAGGCGCATCCCATTCTCTGTTTGTCTGTAAGGGCATTTAATCTTCGGTGTGCCTTTTATGTTAAAATCTGCGTTATGTTATTGTGACGAAGAACATTAACAGTAAGGTGACTCTGTTAACATAGCATAAAATATGCATTCGCAATGTTAAACAATGCTAACTTTTCTCAAATATTTCACAACATAATAGAAGAGACTTGTTATATGTTAACAGAGTGACATTAACAGAACAAAAAAAAAATAATGATGAAAAATCCTAGTTTTATCGCACATAAACAAAAATGAATTAAATTAAAAGCCATGTCTTAAAGTTCACTAACACGAATTTGTTGAAAAGTTAACAGTTCTGTTATTGTGACGTTAACAGCATTATGTAAACATAATATTCTGGAACAAGATGTTAAATTGAATATGCTGTTTTTCCTTTACTTCCTGCAGCGGTCCCATTGCGGCCATGAGATCTGTGCGTCTGCTGAGCGAACTGGAGATTGATGGTAAGAAGCTGGTGGCTAAGGTGGATGCAAAGAACAAAGTGCTAATCGAGGATTACAAGGAGAAGGAGTGCAAGAATGGCGAGGGCGGACCCAATGCCATGGACGAAAAGACTGAGGACGAGTTCGCGACCAGCCAAATGCACGAGCTGCTCGAGGAGCACAAGCACGAGTTCGAGGGATTTGATGGCACGAATCGCGGTGATCTATACGGCAGCAGCAGCAGCAATCGCAACAAGAAGACGCGACGCGGCGAGGATGACATCAAAATCAAGTCCTTAAACGACAATGCGCTCGAGGAGGAGAAACGCAATCTGATCAGCAGCGAGATTGGCAAGTTTCGCAAGCGCGCCGAGGCCGACGAGCATCGCAAGGAGCTGGAAAAGGAGAAGGAAAAGGAGAAGCAGCTGGCCACCAAGGAGAAGGAAAAGGAGCGCGAACGCGATCGCGAGCGCAAAAAGCAACGCGAAAGCGAACGCAAAACGAGCAGCAGCAGCGGCAGCGGCAAGCCTCCAGTCAGCATCGGCGCCAGCAGCGAGGTCGAGGAGGTGGTCGAGATCATCGAGAAGGAGCCCAGCAAGGAGCCGAGCAGTCGCAGCCGCAAGGAGTCCATTGTCACCATCGATGTGTCGCCGGCGCGCAAGGAGCACAAGGAGCGCAGCAACAGCGACTCGCACAAGGAGAGCAGGCGACGCGATCGCCGCTCCAAGTCACGCACCAAGGAGCGCGATCGTGATCGCGATCGTGAGCGCGAACGTGAACGGGAGCGTGAGCGTGAGCTAATGCGTGAGCGCGAGCTCCGTGAGCTGCGCGACAAGGAGCGTGAACGGGAGCGCGAACGCGAGCGTGATCGCGAGCGTGAACGTGAGCGAGAGCGTGAGCGTGAGCGCGAGCGAGAGCGCATCGAGATGCGCGAACGGGACAGGGAGCGTGAGCGTGAGCGCGAACGCGAGGAGAAGATCATCAAGCCCGTGCGAGATGCACGGCGCGAAAAGGAAATGGAGGAGGAGATGCGCGAGCGCAAGAAGGCCGAGAAGAAGGCACGCGAAAAAGAGGCCGCCTACCAGGAGCGTCTCACCAACTGGGAGATACGCGAGAAGCGCAAGGCCAAGGAGAATGAGAAGGTAAACATCACATTTCCATATAGCTAGACAATAGGGAGCGTCAATTTGAGAAGATAAAGACAAATGTCATCTTAGCATAGGAATAATGTTTCTTCAGTTATGCTGCGAATGACACTTGCTTCAACTTAATCCGGTTGATTATGGCCAGATAATAGAGAGATACTAATGTCATCTTAGCATAGCAATGTTTTGCCAATTATGCTCTTATGACACTTGCTTAAGTTAAGTTTTTTCCAAGATTGGAACAAACCTTTTATGAAAAACACAAGCGAAATTTTGCTTACAAATTCTTTTCTCTGAATTTTTCTATTTCAATACTTTTGAATATCCAATTCGAAGAAAACTTGAAATTAGACGAAAGAACTTAAATTTTAAATATATTTTGCTTGGCAGCTTTTCGCATTTGTGTAAATTTTCTTGCATGCATTTTAGGCAAATGTCATTTGAGCATGATGACAATGCACTTTCGGGCATGCGACAGAGAGGAAGCAAGATTTTTAATTATTGCTAAAACTCAACGCCATCAACTAATTGGCTTTGGGCAAATGTCATCTTAGAATATGCTTAAGCTTTTAATTAATAATAAAAATCATTGCAGTATCGCCACAAGGAGCTGATGCGACAGGAGGAGCGCGAGAAGGACGCCAAACGACTGAAAGAGTTCGTCGAGGATTACGATGACGAACGCGACGATGTGCTGTACTACAGAGGCCGCGAGCTGCAGCAGCGTTTGGCCGAGCGCGTCCGGGAAGCCGATGCCGATTCCAAGGATCGCGAAAAGGAGGCCGACGAACTGGCCGAACTGAAGAACAAAATCTTTAGCGGCGAATTCGAGAATCCGTCACAGGAGTACGAGAAGGCGCGTCGCGAAATCGAAAAACTCTACGAGCCGCGCATCCTGATCAATGTCAATCTGGAGGCGCAGCGGCGCGACACAGAGCTG